TTAATCAGGAGCTTCTGGCAGAATACTGATTACTCCCTTTATGCTTGTGTTGGGAGGATGGGCAGAGCCTGGGTAGGTCCCTAGGGGGCCTTTTTGACTTGGAAATGTAAATCTGATCACATTGTTGAGGACCCTTTCTGCTGATTGACTTATTTCATTAAAGATTCCTTCACCAGGAAGGATTAAAGGATGAGGGTGGCTTTGTAAAAGGTTCTCCTGCAATCTGAGAAAATTGATCCATATCTTTAAGATGAATACTATGTAAATGAGTCCTTGAAATATCGCTGACTCAGATTCCTCTATCTTCCTCAATGGCAAAATATATCAGCTACTTCTGACAAGCTGCCTGACCTTACAGGTTTCTTTTCTACATATATGCTGGGGGTCATCAATGAAGGGCCCACAATGCCTTTTGTTAAGGGATAACCTAAAGGTTTATTCAAAAACAGAAGGACCCAATGAAAGACAAAAAATTACCTTCCAAACCAAATGCATGCAGCCCTAAACGGGCCACCACAACAAAGTGTGTGTAACTGGACACTGAGGGGCCTATGGTGAGAAAAAAAATCTGTCCAATGAGATCAGATCCTTTAAAGGATCAGAGACCAAGGAGATCCAGAGGACTTGGAAAAGCAGAAATTGTGTGGGTTTGGATTCAGAGGATCTAGGTTCATGTTTCATGGGTTCCATGGGTTCTACCACTCAGTTTCCTCATCAGTAAAACAAGGGAATTGGATTAGCTTCTAAGTTGTAACTATGTAATCACACAACTCCACTGGCTGGTATCTGTTGAAAGAGAGGTTTAAACCGACTAGTTGGATTGGACTGGGAGCATGAAAACAATTATTTAAAACATGGAAAAAAGATGTTACTTTCTTGTTATTTTTGTTTGGTGATGCTTCTTCCCCCACACTGAACTGGGTGATTAAAACAAAACAAAACAATCAATTCTCTATTTTATTTTTAGACTGATATGCTTATTGCATGTTCATCCATGGCTTTGTTGTAGTGTAGAAAGAGCCAGAGGGGGACCTGTTAGGAAAAAACCTTAAATCTCAATTCCAGCATTTATTAGTTTGTGGGTATCTCATGCATTGTACAGAGTGCTGGGCCAGGAGTCAGGAAGAGTCATCTTCTTGAGCTCAAATCTGGCCTCAGAACTTCCTAGCTATGTGACCCTGGGCAAGTCACTTAACCCTGTTTACCTCAGTTTCCTCATCTGTGAAATGAGCTGGCGAAGGAAATGGCAAACCACTCCAGCATCTTTGCCAAGAAAACCCCCAAATGGTATCACAAAGAGCTGGACACAAACTGAAATGATTGAACAACAACAAATCTGGTGATAATTTGGCATCTTAATACCCTGGATGGATTTATAAGATCCTAAGAGTTGGAAGAGACTATAATGATCCAGGCTAATCTCCTGTATTAAAGAGAAGGAAAACAAGTGCAGAGAGAAGGAGTGTCATGGCCAGAGCCATATAGTTGGTGGCACAGACACCAGTGGGCATTAGGGTTAACCATATTTAGGGAAAAGGCATAGCTACTAATAACCCAGGTTTCCTGGTTCGCACTTCAGCATTCTCTATGGTGCATACCATATGAAGAAGAGGAGGTGGTGGAAAAAACTGGGTCAGTTAATAATGGAGCAAAAACTTCTTAAAGACCATACTTTGAAATGAAAGGGGGGAAAAAACCTCAAGGTTATAAATAAATAAAACCTAGTTCTTGTCTTGCTTAGCAGAGATTTACCTTCTAACTTCCTATTTTGTTGCCCATTTAAAACAGTTCTTTTTATTTTAATCATACAACAAGAAGATGAGAGAAAAAGGTATCTGGGTGCCCTATATTTGAATGTGGGGAATAGAAGGAATTTTTTCACATGTGGAAAATTGAAGGAGCAATTAATTTTCTATATCTAATCGTTTTCAAAGCACTATTAGAGTTAAGTTTCTTAGGGGCTAACCCAGCTGTGCCCACCAAACCAATATCATAACAGAAAGATCCAGAATTAATGAAAATCCTGATTAGAGAGGAAAAAAAGCAAAAGGAAAAGGATATTTTCATTCTAAATCCATTCATCTTGAAGATAGAGACTAGACGTGATTTCATTGGTATAAGGAATAACCATGAGAGGAAAGTCCCTCTACCATTGCAGGTTGGCACCCTCTGTATAACTTAGGGTCTTAGAGAGTTATCTAGAGCACTGAGAGGCTAAGTAAACATATCCAGAGTCACCCAGCCAGTCGGTCTCAGAGGCAGAACCTACCTCACCATGTTGTTTCAAGGATCAATTGTGATAATAGACTGTGAAGTGCTTTGTAAACCGCAGAGCACTACTACAGAACACATGTAAGCCAATGCTTCAGGTGGGAGAGGAGGGGTATGTTCAGGGCATTCAGTCTCTTTGACGATGATTATGATACACACTTTAACTCAAAAACTTTTTACTTGAGGGAGCTTTGTGCACAAATTTACCACAGGATCCTCTACTAATGAGCCTTTCTAGATCCAAGGTAAGGTTAAATAAATGGGCTCACGTTTGCACTGAGAATAATTAACAGTAGGTCAAGATTGGTCTTTGGCATTTTTTTTACAAATTCTATGTTTTTACTGTCACATACTATAGCTCTTCACAATCCCTTTCCTTTCTCCTCTGAGCCAATATTTTTGTTCATGGAAAGAAGATACTGAAAGGGTTAAATTGTCCCTTCCCTCACCCACCAAAAGAGGATAAGTTGTGGAGCCTATGTAGCTAACCAGCAAGATCCCTGTGGGCAGGATCCTGGTGTCCATGGAGCTCTTGTACCCAATGGCACCTAAGCAGGGCCATGTGAATAGGAGACACTCGGCACCGGTAAAAACACAGCCTTGTTTCCAAAATCATATTGGGAAAGCACAGGGAGGAAAGCCCTAACTTTAAAGCACTATGTTCATTTGAATTATATGTTAGGATTTAGATTTGGGCAGGTTTACACAATCATGGCTTTCTGACATTTTTTCCTACTGTTGCAGACAAAAATCAAACTTAAATAGTCTGTTGTTTTATTCCCAAACTCCAGGAAAACATGCCAGTTACCAGTCTCAGTTAGCTTTATAAGCTTATCATAGGGCCTAGAGTTGGACAGACAGGGTAGGCCCCTGCAAAGAATCCTGGATTTAGCCTGGAAGGACCTGGGTTTGAATACTACCACCACTATTCTCTGGTTATATGTTCTTGGTTAAGTCACTTCATCTCTCTAAATTTCATTTTTCTTCTCTGAAAAAAGTTGGGTTAGACTAGGTGGTCTCTGATATTCTCAAATTTAAATCAGGAAAGGACTTTAGACAGTTTAAATAATTTGGCCAAGAACACACAGGTAGAGAATATCTGAGCCAGGATCTGAACTAATATTCTTTCACTAAATCCCAAGCACTTTCTACTATGCCACACTGCCAACCTAACAGCACAATACCTCTTCCCTAGTTTTCACCTAGAAATTGGTTTCCCTGGTTTCTTTTCTTTATGTTTTTTTTTTCTTCTTAAAAAATCCTTTAAATAAATTACTAACTGAAGAGGAATATTGGAGTGTTCAGACATTGCCTTCTGAATGCAACCTTTGCTCTCATGAGAAAAATTCCGTTTTAACTCATGAGTGTGGCATTTGGGGTCTCAAAAGCTAAACAAGCAACCTAGCACCTGCTCCACCTTCTTTTCATTGCCACAGAGTTATTTTTCCCTTACCAAGGAGTCCCGTCATGCTGCTATTCTGAGCTGAAGCAATGGGTAGGGGTTATAGCAAATTACCAAACCATAAGCAAAATAACACACAACACATTTGCTTTAGAACCTAGATGCTAATAAATATTAATACCCCCTTTTTTCTTCTTAAATAATAAAGACAATTAAATACAGCTTGGTTTCGTATAGTACTCAGGCATATTCTGTGACTTTTGCAGCATTTAGGTCATCCTGGGGCATATATTTCATAAATTATTTGACAAATGGTTGCTTTAAAAAAAATTCCACCTGTCTGACAACAAAGTAAAATGCAGACAAGAGAAAAATACATTCATTGATGCCTATGAGTGGAACATTAGCTTTAGTTTTCAGGGAAAGGATTATTCCTTCTAAATACATTCTCAATATCATTAAGGCTGGGCCTATAACCAGGTCAAATCTATTTGAAAAGTGAAACAACGATGGATCTGTAATTTAATGATCATTACGACATTTCAAATACTCGATGTGGGACATGACTGCTCTATTGGCTCCACCATATACAGAAAGGATTCAGCCCTTTAGAAATCCCTAAAAGAGTGATTTCCTGCGCTGCCCCTTCCCCAACTCCTTGGGGTGCCACCACCTCCCTGCTTTGATCTGGTTCCTGATGGGCTAGTGGTTAAAACTGACTAAAAAGTGTGCAAACTCTTTGTCAAAAGGATTGGTTGATTACCTCCTGCACAGCTTCCACATGGGTAGCTCTCTTAGGTAACTGAGGGAGGTGGCATCATTCTGAAGGCTGCTTCTTTTTGTTTGTTTACACACTCACTGAGTGCCCCCAAACTAAGCAGAAGAGTTTTTGACCACAGCATTTGATTTGGTGGTCCTGTACACAGACACTGCTTAACATTTCATTTAAAATTTTGTGTTGGTAGTTTTTTGTTTTTTTTTTTTCCTGAAAGGATGCAATTACAAGGAGGCTGAGTAAAGTTTCAGTTTTAGACAGCCAGAATTGTGGGAAGGAGGGGAAGAAGTCCTTTAAGGGGTGTACGTCAAAGCACTTTATTTCATACAAGTTTAACCATTATCATAAAGCCTTGGGCTGGAGGGAACTCATTTGAGTGTGACAGATCACTTTAGCTACTATTGTGTCCAGCAAGGTGGCATAGAAGATGCTTTCAATGCTAATGTTCATCGTGATAAGCACTTGTAAATTCTTTCTGCTTTATGAAATCAGGAGTGTATTAACAACTCATCTCAGGACTACTTTCTCCATTTGTTTATCTTTTTTCCCCCTCCATCTCCGGGCCACTTTCTTCATTTGTTTCTCTCTCTTTTTTTTTTTTTTCTCCATGGACTACCCCAAAGCAAAGCTAAAAGGCCTTTGAAGACTCCCTGCTCAGTGCAATGGTCTTTGTTCTAAGACAAAGATTTCTGACCAAGACTCCAAAGGAGGATTACAGACTAGATGACTGTTAAGGACTTTATCCAGGTGAAGAAAACCAATAATATCACTGAACTCTATTTATTTAATACTTGAAATGTGGCGTGCATTTATGAATTTGCATAAACATTTACAACATCTAGAATTCTTGAAACAGACATCTGGGCTTTCACTGGTGTGCAACTTTTCATTTCTGATCCAGATATTTTGGTATTGTATAGACCCTGTCTTACATGAGTACACAACACATCACGGAAGTGGTAACAGAAGTCATTTATATCTAAAAGGCCTGCTACCTACACTGAAAAGATGCCACACGTTAGAGCAATTGAACCAAATCACAGAGAAGACCAACAAGAACAGAGCTGACATCATAAGGAGGTGACGCAAAGGGGACATGTGGTACCCATGCCCATCTACACTGAGAGAACAAGCTGTGTGACGTCGCCTAGAATACAGACACTCTTTTTCACGACTGTCAGGTTGATTTCTGTGGGGCACGGTGATGCCCCCTTTTATCCCAGCTATACATTTTGCAACAATTAAACCACACAGGCCACTATGTTGTGCGTCCACGGGCCCAGGGGAGGTGCCATGTGGAAAAGTTTATCTTGATCTTAGGGAGGAGAGAGTTCTTGTTATCACCTCTGCCGAAGTCACAGCTGCATTTCAGAAGTGCTGACGAGGCCTAGTGCTCTGGCTTCTTCCGGCGTCAGCCCACTCTTCAGAGTTCTTCTTACTACAGTGCCATGGAAACCCCAGGCAGGGGAAGACAAGAATAACAAAAACCAGTGGTTAATAGCACAACCTGAGGTCGGCTGGTAGGTCATACTGTTTTCTAAGCAGATGACAAAGAGGGACTATAACGTCCATGGGTTTGAATAATCTTTTAACCTTTTCAGAAAATCATCTTGCTCCCTCTCCCTGACTGCCACCCCATACTTTGCTCCTGTAGAAATGCTTTTGACCAGCAGGCTTGGAAATTGATGGGTGTCTGTATGGCCAATGGCAGAAAAAAAATTACAAATGCATTAGACATTGAAATTTGCCAGTAGAAAGAGCAATTACTCCTCTTAGCTGTTCACAGCTATAGAGTCTCTTTTTTGAATCCACTATAACAGGCAACAACCTCCAGACCCACAGAGTAGGGCAGAGAAAAGAAGGAAGACAAGGGGGAATTGACTCAGCTTATTTCCTTCCATCCACTACATGAAGAAGAAATTCAGACTAGAATGATATCCCTGAAGCCAGCTGTGAGATGTGCTATACTCCAAACCCAATTTAGGGAAGGGAATCAGCATTTATATAGCACTATGTGCCAGGCACTGTGCTAAGTGCTTTTTTAAAATTTCATTTGATCCTCATTACCCTGGGAGGTAGGTGTTGTTATCCCCATTTTTACAGTTGAGGAAACTGAGGCAAGCAGAGGTTAAGTGACTTGCCAAGGGTAACACAGATAGGGAGTGTCTGAGGCCAGATTTGAGCTCAAGTCTTCCTGACTCCAGGCCTAGCACTTCATCTATTGTGTCACCTACTTGCCTCAATTACTTAACTAACAAGATGGACTACCTGCAGATACATTTATCGGGTAAAAATGCCTCTTAGATTGAGTTTAGAATCAAAGAATCAATCAAAAGTATAAACTAGGTGAGAACAATTTCTAAACATTTCTATTGAATCTACCAACCAAAAGCATAAACTAAGTAAAGACAACCAAATTAATCAAGTTGGGAAGGAATGAAGTACTTCAGTCATTGATTGAAATCTGATGATGAAATGTACTGGAGTTGGATGGACTTATGTATACTAGAGAAGAAAATTCTATCAGAAGGATTCCAGCAACTGCTTCGGAATCAAGCTTTGGAAACCCTTTGAGAAGGGAAATCTCTTTTGCCTCCATCAGTGCAAAACAAGGTGAGAAGTAGGACTGGAGTAAGCCCAGAGGGAGCATCATATTGTCCCTGTGCCCTGTGGGCCTCTCCCCTGCCCCCATGACTATGCCAAATAACACCTCTAGCCAGGAGCTGAGAGATGACAAATTAGACACACTGAGGAAAAGGCAGCTTTGTGAACTGTCACCTCTTCGGGGTGAGGAAAGGCAGCTTTAGGATTCTCTACCCCAACCCGTGGAGCCTTGGAGAAAGCTGTATTTGTAAGGAGAACTTTATGGGGACCCCACAAAAGGATAAAAGGACTTCTAAAAGCCAGGAACTGTGAATTACCCTTGATCACATGTTCTCTAAACTTAATCCCACTTTCCACTAGACACTGTATGTACTCATGTGGGAGTATATCACAGACTTTTAAAGGGAATGTTTTGTAAACCACTTTAGTGAACATTCCTAACTAAAAGCTAATCAACTCTGGCTGGCTAATTGATGTCAACTGGATAATTAATGGAGAGCTCACTAGCTGGGGCTCAGTAAGTTACAACATTAGAAAACCAACCCCAGACCTTCAGGATTATCCCTGTAACCTTTGGGGGGTGAGGAGAGGGCTCATCCCTCCTTTGGGAACCTGTTTAACCAATATGAGTTTGAATTATAGAGAGTATCCCCAAGTACATGTTGTATAATCCTTTTTACCTAGTTTTCCATCAACACTGTGTGAGCACACAGAATAAATGGTAAGAGCATCAAGGAAATACTTGTTCAGACATTACGGAGGCTTTGGGGCATTTAAATCACTTCTTCCAAAAGGCCAGGAGAGAAAACTTTTATTTGGTTCTTGTAACATAAATGTAGATTGTGTAATTAAACTGGTTTTGAAAGACTATAGTAAATGGTACTAACACAACCTGGAGTTTATATTCTCTATACTTAAAGGGGTTTGGCTACAGATTGGTAGCTTGAGTATTACTGTGTATTAATTGCTCAAAGGTACACATGTAAATAACATCCCTTGGTAATAATGTATTTTTCAGACCTGCTCAGTGGGCTACAAATACCCAAAAGTATCAGGAAAAGAGAAACCATTATGCTCAGGCTTTTCTTTAAGGGCCTTGGAAGAATGGCCATTTTCTTCTAGATCTATGGGTACCTTCCCTCTTTCCTTTAAGCTTAGATGTTTTAACAAAGAATGCTCATCTCTTAGCTTAAATATGCTTATGACTTGTGTCATATGGTTATCACTCAAAAAAAAAAAAGGAACTGATAAATTACTTCCAACTATAATGTTTATGACTGTTAGTGGTTTCTTGTATTGTTCCTCTTGGGTTATCTGATAATCTGAATTTTCTGAAATAGTATGGATCTTTGTTGTTGTTGTTGTTGTTCAGTTGTGTCCAACTCTTCTTGACCTCTGAGGTTTTCTTGGCAATGATACATCTTCTTCTCCAGCTCATCTTGCAAATGAGGAAACTGAGGCAAACGGGATTAAGTAACTTGCCCAGAGTCACACAGTTAAGTGTCTGAGGCCAGATTTGAACTCAGGAAGATGAGTCTTCCTAATTACAAGCCCAGAGCTCTATGCATTTGTGCCACCTACCTGCCCCATGGTATCTTTACTAGTGTTCAGCATTTAATACGAAGAGAAGAAACCAGCCAAGTTATAGACATAATCAGTCACGGCCTGTGGGGGAGCTACTTTGGAGGCGCCATGCTTACCTGACCCCCCATGTTACCCATTTCCATGCTGCCCACTCTAAATGATGGCCCTGAAACCCGAGCATTTTCCCTCTGTATTTTCGATTGCTTACAGCTATAACAATCTCTTCTTCCTTCTTTGCCGTTAAACTCTAGATTGTATGTCTAACTTGACTAGACATAATATTTTGGCTCTTAAAGGTCTTGTCTCGAGGCAGATTACATTTAATTGAGTAATGGAATGCATTCTATGCAGTGGCAATAAAAGTAAAACTTTCTAATGACCTTTTATGTTCTTTAAGCAATCCTTAAAGCATTTGTTGAAGAAATAGACTTTAATAGATTAAAATAGGATAAAAATACCTCCTTGTTCTTGACAAGAAAGGCCTGCTGAGATCTCATAACTAAGACACAAAATACTGCTCGAAGAAGGTCAGGAGGGCATAACTTACTGTACTTTGAAGCATCTTAAATTTAATTAAATTTAGCTATCTCAGTAGAAGGTAGCATACAGATGTCCATGAATGGTAATCTTAGTTCATTTAATGGAAAATGCCTGGTCAAATAAGTAGGGAAGTAAACCTCAAAGATCTAGGAGCATTTTTGAATGCTTGGTACACTCTGGGCACGCATTGAGAAAATGTCTGGCACTTGGGTTCACATGGTGTTTAAGTAAGCATCATTGTGACAGCAATGTTCTGTTTATTTAAATAAATGGAAAAAGTATCTGACTACACAGTGGTCTCTTTTAATAGCATAATTTCCTAAGCCTTACCAAAAATAGTGGCATGTAGTTCAGACTTGATTCACTTGGGCAGCTTTAAATGGCAATCAGAACCAAAACCAAATGGATGGTCTTACTGGTCAACTTAATGAATACAGGGAGAAGGTAACAAGTATTTATTAAGCACCTTCCACGTGTCAGGTGTCATTTAGTGTTTTACAAATATTATCTCACTTGATCCTCACAACAACTGTGAGAGATGAATGCTATTATTGTTATCCCCATTTCCTAGTTTAGGAAACCGAGGTAAACAGGTTAAATGACCTGCCTAGAGTCACACAGCTAGTAAGTGTCTGAAATGGATTTGATCTTGGGTCTTCCTCATTCCAAACCCCAGCCCTCTATCTATTGTACCATCTAGCTGCCTAGATATGTTCTATCCTCATCTTTTTAGGTCTCTCTACTGCTGGTGCTAAGGATCATCACCCAGTGATCTTTTGATAATGCTGCCAAATGGGGAAGAGGGCATAGCTCAAGCAAAAATGCCGGATATACACCTGGGCATTTGTATATACAACTGGACTCAGGGGTTTTAATAGGTCAAAATAGGGTTAACCTATGGCAGAATTTCAAACTTAGAGAACTGCTGAAGAGCACGAACCGTTGGAATGTTTTGGCCTTTCTTTGACTCCTCAATGCCTAGAATAATTGCTGGCACATAGTACTTGATTGTCTGACAATGCAAATTAAGGGAATGCATATTTAACCAGGTCAGTTCCCTGATCAGAATCCTTCAATAATTCCTTATCTCCTACAATAAAACTTCCTCACTGTCTGGCTCTAACTTATCTTTACAGCCTCATTTCATTCTAATCCCCTTTGTATGTTTTATGTTCCAGCCAAAGTGGACTATTTGCTGGTCCCTGACCTTATCCTGCTCTCCTGAGCCTTCCTGCATTGCTGCAGGTTGTCTCTTGCATGACATGCTTTCTCCTTTCCACATCTCGGCCTGTTCGAATTTTTCCTCTTCCTCTAAGGTACCATTTCTGTCACAAGACCTAATACATACATACCCCAATCTTTCCTTTCTCATATTTCATAAAGGGCATCTAATTCCTTTTGTCCAGACTTCCCTTGATCAAATCCTACCTTATGTCATGTTTATTGGGGGAGCTCATTGTCTCTCCCGGGCCTGCCCCCCCCCCCCCCCCCCCCCATCTCCCACCTTCATTAGGTTGTAAACTCTATGAAAGCAAGTACTAGTATGTTTCTTATCTACACATTTCCAGCCTGTGGCACAGTTCCTTCTATATAGTAGGTGCTTAATGAATGAGAATTTAGCCTCAAGGTTGTGTGTGTGTGAGACAGATCTCATATCTCAACCTACTCTCTTTGCTTATTTCAGGAAGATTAAGACAAAGTTCATTTTAT